AAATTCTGTCTCTCAGAGTGGGAATGCACCTACAATGTGAATTTCAGACCCCTCCATGATTTCTAAGTGGGAGAACTTGCAAAATCGCAGGGTGTTCAAATACTTCTGTTCCTCACTGTATATATTCCCCAGATGGTGTAATATTCTGACCCTCTCATGTATATAAATGGGGAGGGCAAAACCTTAGAGGCACCACTGTTTGGTGGAAGACCTTGGTTATCAGTGATGCCCCTGACTGATGTCCTGGTCCCATTGTTTCAGCTTGGTGCACTCTTTAAACAAAGCCAACCTTAAGTTCTGAATGTAAATCCTGTGGTTTTGGCTAAGTCAGGAAAAAGGGAAACCTCCAAATGAGTTGTAGCCAAAGGTGCAGGAGTCTGCCCCTCACCAAGTGTGAATATGATAGTAAAAGTGCAGATATGATCGAAGGAGATGACATGCTTAAGTGCTTTAGGTTTTGGGGAAGGCTTTAGGAGTTTGTGGTACTCTTGGGCACTGGCAGACCTCCAGCAGAATTGCAGAGAGGAGAAAGAATATGTAGAGAAAAGAAGGAGGGGGATTAGGAGGGTAATGAAAAGCAGAAACAGAGCTGTGTCGGAACTGAGAGTTTATATAGTGTGGAAACAGACGGGTGTAGTTCAGGCAGGGTCCCGCTCCCAAATGTCAGATACTAAATTATTTCCCTTTAGAGTCAAAAGTCAAAGTACTCACTATGCAGAAAGTTGGCCCCTGTGAGTGTTATTATTATGACATAATTTGATTATTATCACTTGCTTATGTGTTGACTAATGGCCATTAGAAAGCCATAGCAAAGTGCTGGTTTAGAGAACTAACACTTTCACCTCCACTTTAGGTTGGCAGCAGGCATCCAGGCCCATAACACACCTTCTTTTCTATTATGTGGGAATCTTCACTTCTTATTTCTAAGATTCATAAACATAAAACTTCTTATTTCTAAAAAGTTTTATGTTTACTTGCATAGTAGTTTATCCAGGTGTCTAGCCATCAAGTCTCTATCACTTTTAATTTAACTGGTGGAAACATTGGAGATGCTGGGGATCGAACCCAGGACCTTATACCTGCGAAGTACATGCTCTACCACGGAGCTACATCCCCTCTCTGCTCCACTTAGTGTCTCATCATTAGATAATTTGCTGAATGTAGAACCACAGTAATTAAGCATGGAGGGGATGTAGTTCAGCAGTAGTGTGTGTGTGTGTGTGTGTGTGTGTGTGTGTGTGCGTGCGTGTGTGCGTGCGTGCGTGCTTTGCATGTATATGGTCCTGGGTTCAATCTCCAGTGTTTCTCCTGGTTCTTATTTCCTAACATCATATTATAGCAGATCAGTGTTCTGCAGGAATTTGAGAATCCCTGTGTGGACAGTGAATTTACAAACGGGACAGAAATGTTCTCTGATATTTTTTCACTTCTTCCACATGAAATAAATGCATGGAAAGACATCTTCAGCATGTCAGTGCTTTGATTCTGGACTCGGAGTTCATTGTTTTCTACTATTTCAATTGCTCTGCTTTAAGTTTTTCTTCTCTATGTTTATTTTCCCCAACTTCCTAGCTTCTAATCCAACCATGTCTTCTTTTGTTGCACTGATCCTGCAGCTGTGTTTCAGGTTCATATGTCCTTCATCCCGCAAAGTTGGACAGCAAAGTTATTTAGTAATGAGAGCAGCTGGTGAATGATGACCCTTAAATCCTCCAACAGGTAAGATTTACTGCTACACAGTGGAACAGTATGCTGTAGATGTTTTATTGTTTAAGTAATAGCACAAAACGGACAGAAGAGGGAGCCATTTGTTTTTATGAGTGTGGCAGTACAGTGATGTATTCAGAGAGATGGTAGTAGAGCAGCCTGGATGTTACAAAAGTAAGGAGGGCAAAACAGGTTTAATTCACTTGATGGTTCATCTCTGCAGTATATTTCACAGCTCTGGTCAGTAGCTGCTACCTTAGACACCCTACTCCAGACCAAACTGTTGGTAATACAAACAGGCCAATCGGCTAAATGATTACATCAACCAACATCCCCATCCTGTTTTAATTTTAGATAAACACTCATGAATCCAGGTGTTCTGAAAAATTATAGCAGGTGCATGTGGCCAAAATCAAGCCATTAATAGAAAAACAAAAAAGAGACAATTACAGTGAATGTTTCAGACCTGGTTATCATTGTTCTCTACTTACAGTCACCATCTGCTTATTTATTCTTCGACATTTAAAGGTTTGAAATGAACATTTAAAGGGCACTTATGACAGCACTTACTGTCTTCACATGATTTTAATGTCCAAAGAAAGTTGACTGCTTGTTGAAGATGCTTGTGATTGAACAAATATCACTAGACTACACCCCCGATACAACTTATGTATCTGTGGAGTCTTTTATTTGTCTCAGTTTTAATTGTATATTTAAATGTAATTCATTAAAAACCTCCTTATTTTCGGCCAATAGGACAAAAGACACAAAACAAGCAGGAAACCCTGTAAATAATACTCAATTAAATGTGCCAAAAATGGGAGAGCGTTCATATGGAAGCTCAGTATATGAGTTAAATGATGTTTACACATTTATGTTTACACAAAGAGGGGGCATCAGGTCATGCCGTCATAAATCTTCAGAGCCCCACAATAAACAACACCATTTTCCAGACCTAACCTACCTTTAACATAAAACATCCCTGAACCCTATCCTCACCCAAGCAAAGAGCAGACGTGGCTTGACACATTATCAAGTTACAGTTAATGTGATAGCAAACAGTTGCAGATGAACATGTCCAGCACACACAGGGCAATATGATGTCTGATGTTGTGGAGTTGTGTTGGGCCACCTGATGAATATACACAGTGAAGTAGTAGCTATGACTGTTTCTATCAGTTTGTCATGTGACCGACTCCATGATTACACGAGTAAACAAGTTACCGTACTATAACTGCTACATTAAATAAAAAAAAACAAAAACATGGACGTCTCCTGAGTCTCAATAATCAGGACCATTACTGTAAATGCAACCAGTGTTGGTTCAGACCTGTTCCTCACACATCAGTGCCACTGTGCCTTCAGTGTGTTACCTAAACAGCCTGATGTTTCACCTGCCTGAATGTGACCATAGATTAGCACCTGCGCTGTAACAAGAGCAGGTATTCATTATCAATTCATGCTTTTGTTACTCAACTGCATGTGTGTGACCAAGACAATGAGTGTGTGTGTTCTGCACCTTTATTGACAACCAAGGCACTAAAAAAATAGCAGCCTGTGAGTTTAATGTGACCTAATACTCTATGTTTCAACTTTGAGTTACAGTAGATACTAACAATGTGTTTTCCACTAAAATCTCAGCTCGACTCATTCAGTCTCTGCAAAGAAAGAAATATTTTTTAAAACTGAATGTACAGAATACACATATTTTGGATAGACTGTTGACCTGTCCAGGGGTGTACCCCGCCTCCTGCCCAGTGTCAGCCGGGATTGGCTCCAGTTCCCCAACAACCCTATTCAGGAACAAGCAGTATAGATAATGGATGGATGGATGGATAGATGTTTTGGATAGTTCTCAGTTGGTGAAGGCAGCACCTTGAGTCTCCACTGACAGCAGGGTTGTCTTCATTCTTTTCCTCTCTCAGCCCAGTCCTTGTGTAAATTTAATTACTAACCAGCTGTGTACAGACATGTACATCAAATACAGACAGGTCACAAATGAAACCCTGAATAAATGAGGGGTCACTGAAGGGTCTGATGAGGATGAACATGATGTGAATCACATGCCGTGGTCTTCACAGCCATCAGATCTGAGCCAGGTTGAACAGTTTTTTGTCTTTTTGATATTCTATACCAGTAATATTGTCGTCTCTCTGTCAGACAGGAGTGAGACAGGAAGGGGGCGCTCTTGTCAGCTGGCCTGTGTGCGTTAATTAGCTGTTCCCACGCCATGTACTCATTACCACTGCTTTCAGCGATCACTCGGGGTGTTGTGTGTCACTCCCAAAGGACACGAAGATAAGCTCCATCTGAGATGGCCTGCTCCGGGCTCTGTGTGTCTGTCTGTGCAGGTAGGCTGGTGACTGCTGCTGTTCTATTAACGGCCTTGCTATGGTCAAACCAATCTTGTTACCACAAAGGTAGTTTTGCATGTTTCAGCCCCTTACACTGTGGTTTTTATAAGCATATGGCTTATAAATTATTTTAATTTATTCCCTACCCTTCAGGCAGCCAGAAATTTCATTTATTTTGACGGTGCTGTAGAAGTTAAGTTGTACACATCTCACTGGGGAGATGTAATGAGTAGCTGAGGGGGACCACAAGGGACAGTTCTGTCGCCATTCTCGCCACACTATATACCGTGGACTTCAGCTGCCACTGTGGCCTGCATCAGCAGAGACCAGGAGAGTACAGACATCCTGTGGAAGGTATTATTAATAACCAGGATAATCACCTTTATTTGGCCAAGTATGTTACAGTTCCGGTACAGAACCGAGGCGGCCATCTGCAGCGCCATTCTCACACCGATGGCTCTAACCATCAGGGGCAACTTGGGGGTTCAATGTCTTGCCCAAGGACACGTGGACTGGAGATGACTGCTCTACCCACTGAGCCACCTTCACCCTAATGTTACAAAGACCAAGGAGTTGGTGGTGGATTTCAGGAGGGGAAAGACCACCCTGTCCCCTTATCAATAGCAGGCAACTAATGTTGAGGTACTGTAGTTGGTAGCAAAATAGGTTGTAGCAGAAACACAGAGGCTCGGTACAAGAAGAATCAGAGCTGACTGTATTTACTTAAATTTCAGAGCATCCTTGAACACACCAAGGGAACAGATTCCATCAAATAATGAAACAACACAAAGGAAGTGTTCCACACTGTGATTACCTGCTGTATCTCCAGCAAGTTTCAAGTCTTTGCAGGAGCCAACAGCCAGTATAACAGAAGCGAACTGATGTTGCAGTTTACTGTAACAACATAGTGTGTTGTTACAGTAAACTGTCAATATGCATCGTGTATTCTCAGACTTTCTCGTTCCATTTGAAAACACCGTTGGACATCTGGCACTGTTCATTTCAGGCCTACCTGTACTTTCTGCTTGAACATATTGGCCTACCTCACATGTCTGGTACTGCTTCTTTTAATGAAAGTGGGGCAACTGCGGTCATGCAAACATGACATTAATTTTCTCATCTCGCTGTTTATCCTGTAACCCAAGAATAAAAATTTATCAAATGCTGAAATGCAAGAGGCTGCAGGCTAAAAGAATATAAATATAAAAAGTGGATTTTTCTTTCCGTACCACATACAGTGACTGCAAAGCACTGTGTGCCCTGGTGTTCCCACCACAGGCTACCTGACTGATGAGTCACAATAAAGTAGTCTAAATTAAAAATAATGGAAGATAGATGCCGTATTTTCCTCTTGTAGTATCAATCCAATTAAACTTGGAAAGAACGGTGAAGCTTGTTTGTGATTACAAACTATGGGCACTGTTACTGCTAAAACCAAGTTAAGCCCATAGAGAAACAAGGAAGAACATTAACTGGCTGCTGACAGACAAAAGTTGTGTGTAGTAATGTTGGTGATCTGGATGTTATTCTTTTGCTGCACACCCAACTTGAGTGCTGTGAGTTAGCTAATGCTTTAAAAATGAAATATGTGCGCCTCTATAAAAATGATCAGAAATGTACTTTGTTCTACATTTACAAGATTTTATTTTTTGTGCATGATCCTGGATCCAGCCAGTGAATTTCTGCAGTGTGGCTCGTTTTGTTTCCATGAAAAGTGTTGGCTCAGCATTTCCAGGGAAAAGTAGTTCATCAGGTCAGTGCTCATTAATAACACAAGACTCTTTCTGTCAGGCAGAGGCCTGATAAGTTGTTTCTTGCACTGTAAGAAGAACTGGAATTTACATTCCTGTGCAGCGTGACCCTCTCAAACAACACATTACACACACAATCGTACCAAGCTTGCATCTCTCAGGGAGGTCCTCTTTCATGTCGAGCTGAGGAATTTTTGTTTTAACCACTGCCTACACACTGACACGCACACAAATAACCAAGCTAAATATTACCTTGGTGGTGCCACTGTTACAAATGTGGCTGCTGGGGAAGTACAGTCTCTCG